AGTTTTCCCATAAGCCCTTGCGTCTTTGTAACGTTATCGCCTTGCTTGGGTTGGAATTGATTAAAACAAACGACACTGGGATCTTTAGCCTTGGGTAGCAACTATTATAGGAGAAGGATAATTATTAATTCAGAACAGTGGGGAGGGCGACGGGAAACCACTTGAAAGCAAAGTGAAAAATCAAAAGCTACTTAACAATAAATACAGAGTGCAATGTGTAAATTCTCGCCATTTTATATTTTTAATTCCGTGCATGCGCGTTGTTTGTTTTTGATTTTGTCGACTGCACAGTATAGTGACGTTAGTTGGTCACCTTCTGTGAGAAAAAGAGCACCATGACGAAGAGCAAAAAGAGCATTCACTCCTTCAGAAATTTGGAAACAGCATGCTAATCTACTCGCGCCAGAATCTCCAATACGAAAGTTTCAGTGTGTTTGGGTGTCAATCTGAAGACAGTTCAGAGGAGTCGAAAAGAGTTTGATGAGCCTAATGGCGGTTAAAAAGGTGTTTGGAGTGGTCACTAGTGATGGGGACGTTATGCCTCTATTCATCCTCCCACAGGGTTTCAGGCTCAACACGGAGGCCTACATCTAGCACTTTGAGGAGTTTGTGCTACCGTGAGTCAAGAGGGTGGCTACTGGAAGACCCTATGTCTGGCAACAGGACTAGGCACCATGAACACAAGCAGGAAAACACAGTAATGGATGTCAGACAGTTTCTGCGATCGCATCACCTCTTACATCTGGTCACTTGACTCCCCAGACTGCAATTGATTGATTATTATGTGTGGGGGTGCAGTTGAGCGAGAGACCAACAAAATTCATTTTTAACACCAAAGATGAACTGAAGGCAAGGATTATGGCAGCATTCATTAATTTAAACAAGAGCATCCAGAAGAGTTGCAGGAGATTCCAAAGTCGTCTGGAGGCCCTGGTTGGAGCCAGTAGCGATTTTACTGAATAAATTTACTCTTTAGTATTTCAAGATATTTTTGTGTAATTTTGGTAAATATATCTGTGAAAATGAGATGTCAGTGTTATTTTCATTTACGCGTCGTTTAGACGACAATTTATCCATCGCACACATCATGTTCACCCAACAACTTTTTTCGGAATATATACCTTTTACCAGGCAATATATCTTAAATTATCTATCCCTTTATAGTCTCAATATTTCAGCCAAGTAGCTTCTCGCCATCATCAGATGTCCATTGTTTTCATTGATATCTGCTATTTTATTTTGAGAATTTGAACTCATGGTCATTAGATAACAGTAGCACGTGTTTAACCAATTATCTGTTACCGTCTTAAAAGACATTAGTGGACTGTTGATGGAGCCTTTATATTCAATGCCAGGACCATCGGGAGAGTGCATTGGTCCGATCTTGTATACAATGAGGAGCTATGCCAGAGGACCGGACAGTCGTGCATCCTCGCACCATCGTTCAGCGCCGTGTTCGTTGGCCCGGTCGATGACTACATGACTAGAGTCATCTACCAGCTCAACCCGCTATCTACAAGCTGGAAGGACGACGTCGGCCAGAGCCTCCAGCAGATTAATCTGGCGCTGGAGCATGTTCATACGCTCTATCAAGACCGTGATAGCTGGAGGGACAAGATGGCGCACGTGGGCGCAACACATTCATGGTTTGATATTTAGCAGCAATAGAAGATGGTTTAGTCATGATAACCTGTAACATCCAAAATAATCAAGATGAGAACATCAATTCGAAATAATTATGGGTTTATATTTAAAAATCAACCAACCAACCCAATCAAATCTGATGATTGGAATTATCATCTCATATATTCAAACAGCTCTTTACTGTGTCATTTTGAACACATGAGCATTACATAACAGTGGCACATTTTAGTCATCTATCTGTTACCGTCTCGAAATACATCAGTGGTTTTTTGTTAGAGCCTTTATATTTAATGCACTGGTCCGATCTTGTGTCGAATGAGAAGCTCCTCCAAAGACCGGTCAGTCGAGCGTCGTCCGTACCATCGCTCAGCACCGTGTTCGGTGACCCGGTCATCTACTAGTTCGATCCGATATCTACAAACTGGTGACGACCTGGCAGCAGACTACGCAGCCGCTGGAAGGACGTCGTCCGCCAGGGCCTCTAGCAGATTAAACTGGCGCTGGAGGATGTTCAGACGCTCTATCACAACCGTGATAGTCCACGTGGGCGCAACACATTCATGGTTTGATATTTATCAGCAGCAGCAGATGCTTTAGACATGATAACCTGTAACATCCAAAATAATCAAGATGAGAACATCAATTCGGAATAATTATGGGTTTACATATAAAAATCAACCAACCAACACAATCAAATCTGATGATTGGAATTATCATCTCATATATTCAAACAGCTCTTTACTGTGTTATTTATTATCATTAGATAACTGTAGCACATGTTTAACCAATTATCTGTTACCGTCTCGAAAGACATCAGTGGTCAGTTGTTAGAGCCTTTATATACAGTGTCTGGACTGTTGAGGGAGTTCACTGGTCCGATCTTGTGTCGAATGAGAAGCTCCCCTGGATGATCGACCAGTCGAGCGTCGTCCGCACCACCGACCGGCACCCTGGTAGATGGCCAGGTCTACAACCTGATGACCACACGACCAGAATCATCTACCAGTGCGGATTCGGGCCTCAAAGATGAATGAACCCAGCTGCACTTAGGATAGATACAAAAAACACAAACTGCCGATCTACAATGCTTGGCTGACGGATTTTATTTACCGACATATCAACACCTCTATGGGTTATTTTATGCCGAAATCTAAATATTTTGCAGGCAATAGTAAGTTTTCAACTACTGAAAAATATATTGTTGGTAAATTTTTTATATAATAATGTATTGTTGGTATTTTTACTATAAAACCGTTTTTTTTTATACTTTCATAATATTTTGTTTGGGTGTTCACTATTTTCCCATACTTCGGACCCTCACGGGTGCTGCCACCTCGGGTCAGGGTGAATCTGGGAACAACAAGATTAAGAGGTGGTTCCACGCTTCTCAAATTCTCCAATCTCCCGATCAGATGCCGGTCTAAAAGGAGAGCGGGATAATTCCTTATACATTCGCGAAAAGATCGACTATTTGAAGAAAAACCCGAAACGACATACCATCGATTCGGCAGACGTTAATTTTACAGAGTTGGGAAGTGAATAAACAATTATTTTACGAATGAAAACAATAGTCTTAGATTCTTATTATACGTTACTAGGATTACATGAGACCAAAAGTATTTTGACTATTAGCCTATGAGTGCTGTAGTTTCAAAAATCAGTGCGAGTGAGAGATGAACTATGAAAGTTGTAAAATTGTAGCGGCAAAGTTAATACAAAATTCCAAAGAAGCAAATTACAATGAAGGGGAAAGAAAGAGAGAAGTAAACAACAAAAAGAAAAAGAGCATAAAAAGGAAAGTAAAGATAAAAAAAATGGAAGGAAAATTAGAAGACGAAGGGGAAAAAAATGAGAGAACGAAAAATGTTAGTGTTTATAACCTAGAAAGGGTTACTGAATGAGGAATAGCCAAAATGGAGGTTGAAAATGAAATGGTAATCTTTATAGCATCAACAAAATACAATACTCGCTAGCGGCGTGAAGCAGGTAAACCACTGCTAGTGGTGGACTATTTAGACAGCATATTACGATATTTACCTGCCTCCCCACGATGTAGGATGCGGCACAAGGCCAAATTTAATGTGGGGAAATACGAGCACGTGGGCTCGGGCAAAAATTGCCCGTAGACCCCACATTCGCGAGATCTGGTATCTGTTTACCTCCACGGACGAGACTGCTCTTCGGCATAGCCTCGTCTGGGTCGCTTTCTGCCCAAAAAGCAGAGTTCGACACAGCAAGAGCTTCCCACGTTGACAGCTGATGCCCCCACTTACAATAGTGCCCAACGTAATTAGGAGGATTGTGACATACCCATTACTATTCATAGTTACGGTATATAACACTTTCTTTTTCTTTCTTTCTTCTAGCATTTCTTCTTTCTTTCTATTATGCTTTCTTTCTTTCTTTCTTTCTTTCTTTCTAATATACTTTCTGTCGTAACCTAGAAAAGGTTACTGAATGAGGAAGAACCAAAACGGAGGTTGGAAATAAACTGATAATCTTTATAACATCAGCAAAATACAATACTCGCCAGCGGCGTGAAGTAGGTAAACCACTGTTGGTGGTGGACTACGTAGACAGTATATTACCCCCACTTACAATAGTGTCCAACGTATTTACGAGGATTGGAACATACCCATTAGTGTACGGCATATAAAATATACAGATAAGATTAACACTATCTATCTCAGTCTGTTCATTATCTATCTATATATCTATCTATCTATCTATTGTAACCTAGAAAGGGTTACTGAATGAGGAATAACCAAAACGGAGGTTGGAAAATACAATACTCGCCAGCGGCGTGAAGTAGGTAAACCACTGCTAGTGGGGAACTACTTAGACAGTATATACACCCCCTAATTACAATAGTGTCCAACGTATGAGGATTGGAACATACCTATTAGTGTTCATAGGTATGTTATATAACAGTTAAGAAGCTTGAAAAAGCAGAAAGAATGAAAAAACAAAAAACAGAAAGCGAAAGAACGAGGATATAAGGAAGAATGCAAATAAAACAAATCGGGGAAATATGAAAGAGAAATAAAGAAAGAAAATGAAAACTAAGTAAAAGAAAAAGAAAAATCAGTAGAGAAAAAAAAGGAAAAACAAAAGAAAGAAAAAAGAAAGAAAAAAGAAAAGAAAAAAAATTGATTTTTTTTTCTTTACAGCTTACCAACCCTTTATAGGTTATTTAAAGCCGAAACATTTTGGATGATAAGACGATTCTTTTTTTGCAAGTGAATGTTGCGTTGACAATTTATTTCAGAATAACAATGATTTTTCCGGATACAATCCTACTATTTAACCCATAGCTGGGGGATGAAAGAAGAAGATAATGAGAAATAATAAAGTTC